TTATTACATTTAGTATTTTCTTTGCCTCAGTGTGAAGGATTCACTTGATCAAAAATCATTATTAATAAGGTCCTGCCATGGAAAAACATTTGAAAGAAAATGTTAGTTATGCATGTAGAACAAAGATAAAGATGATGATGGACTCGCCGCAGAGATGATGGTCAATCGGTGATAAACAATCATTTTTTTATCATTGTTATACATAAACCGTAATCTCTTTATTGGTTTGTGTAGTCACCGATATTATTTAGTTTATTTGCCAGTATTATGTTGAAATTGATTATACATAATTTTTTTCTAAAAATATGCGTCAATATATATAAGCTATTTGATGAATTTTTATCTATTGTTTGATGATTTATTATATATTGATTGTTACTATCCTTTTTGGTTGAATAATCATTTTTATTGCTATTAAATAGTCGAAATAATCGATTTTCATTTTTTTTAATTTTGTTTTGTGTTTTCATGTTGCAGTGTGAATGTTCACATTAGTATGAGTTTTAGTTTTTTTTTTTTGTTTTCAAAGTTAATTGTATGTTAATTGTAAAGTGTGAAAATTCATACTGTATTTTGGTATAAATTTTATTTTCTCGAAGGTTACTTATATGTTTGTTGTTTTTGTTACTATACTTATTGGTTGAACAATCATTTTTGTTACCATACAATTGAAATAGTTTATTTTTACTTTTTTCAACTTTGTTTTATGTTTTCACCTTACAGTGTAAATGTTCATATTGGTATAAGTGTAATTTTTTACAGGTAGTTGTATATTAATTGTAAACTGTGAATATTCATATTATATTTTGATATGAGTTTTATTTTTATTTTTTTAAAAGTTAGTTGTATATTTATTGTTTATTGTAAACATTCATATTTTATTTTGATATGTGTTTTGTTTTTTTGAAGATTAGTTGTATATTAGTAGTCATACTAGTATAGACATAGTGTGTACATAGAGATGTGAATATTTACATCAATTCTGTAATACAAATAGTTAGTCGCACTCAATATTAATATTCACACATTCATGTGACATTGAGTGTGCGTATGGCTCCATGAGAAGATATTATTTATTATGCATTTGCAATGCGAAAGTTCACATCAACATTTAGTGAGAGATTTTCAAAAGGTAGATAATTTAGGATTTTGAAAATGTAAGAGTTATTTTTTCTTTTCTTTTCTTTTTTGTGTGTATGTGTGTGTGGAATAATGAGACTTTTTTTTTTCTTTTTCCGTAGAATGATGGAGAGATTTTCTCTATGGGATGAGAAGATTTTCCTAGAGTGATAAGAGATTTTCTCTATAGAATAGGGAATTGTTGTTATTTTTTATTGTGTATTAATTTTAAAATGGAGACAAGTGCAAAAAATTAAAAGGGTGATTTGGTCATATTACACTAAATAGGACCTAATAGAATACTCAAAAAGAATATGGGTTTAATGGAACATAAGTGTTAATAATGAGATTTACTAAAAAAACTCCCTATATATTTTGGAGCAATGCTACATATCCACATTTTTAAACTCATACTTTCACTTATAATAATGTGGTAAGAGAGTTAGATCCTATATAATTGAGTAAATGATAAATCAAAAATTAACACATATAATGCTATATTGTTGTAGATATAATTGTAAATATTTTTGTGAATTTCAAATATTTTCCATATATTTTATCCACCTGCTGTCTCCTTCCTTTTGATATTTTAGAAGTATTTTTAAAAAATCAATTTCCATAGGTTAAAAAAGGAAAAATTATAGAGATTTAAAAACTAATCACAAAATCAAATGAAATCAAATGAAACCTTTTACATGAGTATAAGGTAGGTTAATTTTTTTTTTTTTTTTTAATTTTTTTTTTTTAAGATACGGCAGAATTTGTTTGATTTCATTACTTTTTAACTTTTGTGTTCCTCAAAAACTGTAAGAGAAAGTAAAAAGACAGAAGGCAATGTAAGACTATCTCTAACCTACGTATTAAATTTATTATTAAATTTGAATTGGATGGAAAATAAATTTTTTTTTTTTAACTCTAACGGTTTTATTAAATCAGTTTCGAATTTAGAATATTAAAAATATTTCACTAAATTGAAGACGTTTAAGAGTTTTCAGCATTTTATTATTTGGTACTTTTGATTTTACAGAACTAGACGACATGTGAACTGTTCAGTCGGATGTTCCACAGTCATTCACCTGTTTGAAAACTTTCCCTAACAAAATATTACTCTCCGAATCAATAAATTACTCTTATGGGTGGACGATCATTCTCCCGATCGATTAGTGTGTTGATAATAATTAAAAATATCTTATTAAAGTGCTAGATTTTATTTTTTACTCAAATTTTATTTAAATTTAATGAAACATATGATAAACTATTAAATAACGTATGATAGGCTCTGTTTGGCAAAGTTGATTTGAGACTATTTTTGTCACAAAAGATAAAATAGGTTATTTTAGTCACAATAAACAAAATATCACATCCAATTCATAATCATTATACTATTCTTTCATAAAAAAATCAAAAAAATTCAAAATTCAAAAAATTCTTTTCAAACCAAACTTTTTAACCCAAGTTAAAATAGCTAAAAAAATTAAAAAGTTAACCCACTACCCAAACGGAGGCTAAATATGCGGGGGTTTTTCCAAAATAAGCCAAAATACCAAGCTATTTTCCAAACTAGGCCTAGTTTTGACGAATTTTCCAAAATAAACTAAAACGTGGTTGCAAATCACGCTTTCACTGTTTCCAGAACCCTTCCACGAAAAATTAGTGAAATAGTAAAAGTATGGTTACAAATCACGCTTTTAATTAAGAAAGAGTGATTACAAACCATGCTTTTAAGTAAATTTTTTTTTTCAAAAAACGTGATTCCAAATTACATTTTTAAGTAAATTTTTTTTTTTTCAAAAACTGTGGTTCTAAACCATACTTTTAAGTAAATTTGTTTTGTTTCAAAAAACGTGGTTTGAAATGTAAAAACGTATTTTGAATTAACGCTTTCAACACAAAACCAGAGCTTTCATTCTCACGCACGTGCTCTCTCTCTCTCTCTCTCTCTCAGACACATATATAATTTTTAATAAAATTGAGACTAATATTATTTTAATATATAATTTATAATATAAATAAATTTTATTTTATAAAATTGAGACTAATATTAAATATATATAATAATAATTTATAATAGCAAATAATAATCAATTATATAATTTTTGTAAATATAAATCATTTTTATATAATTTTAGAAATAATTTTTTAAAAATTAAATTGAAACAACCATACATACGTATGTATATAACCTGTCTAAAAGTTAAAATAATAATTATTTTTTACACTTAAATTATAATTATTTTTTATTTCTTAACCAAATTAATTTTTAATTTTAAAAAAAAAATTAAAAATCAAACCATACATAGCCTAAAAATCTTTTGATAAGTCATTTTTTACGTTGATAACTTATTTAATTATTTGTTAATTTTACGACATTTTTACCATCTGAGGCATGTTTGGTAACCATTTCGTTTTCAGTTTTCAATTTATATTTACAAAAATTAAAAAAACTATCATAAAAACTTATTTGATAATTTTTTTAGTTTATAAATAGTTGTCTCAATTTGTAAGTTTGAAGAAAAAATGTAAATTCAAAAAATGAGTTCACATTGGTTTTTAAACAAAAATTTAAAATTTTTACTAACAATTTTTTTTTTCAATTATTTTTTTTTCAATTAATTTTTTTTCAAATAAATTCAAAAAATGAGTTTACGTTGGTTTGTAAATAATTTTTTTTTCAAAAAAACTCATTTTTTGAATTTAGGTGTTTTTCTCAAATTTATAAATTGAGACAACCATTTATAAACTAAAAAAATTATCAAATAAGTTTTTATGATAGTTTTTTTAATTTTTGTAAATATAAATTGAAAACGAAATGGTTACCAAACATGTCTCAGATGGTAAAAATATCGTAAAATTGACAAATAATTAAACAAGTTGCCAACGTAAAAAATGACTTATTAAAAGATTTTTAGGTTATGTATGGTTTGATTTTTAGATTTTTTTTTAAAAATTAAAAATTAATTTGGTTAAGAAATAAAAAAGAATTATAATTTAAGTGTAAAAAATAATTATCATTTTAACTTTTGGACAGATTATATACATACGTATGTATGGTTGTTTCAATTTAATTTTTAAAAAATTATTTCTAAAATTATATAAAAATGATTTATATTTACAAAAATTATATAATTGATTATTATTTGCTATTATAAATTATATATATATATATATTTAATATTAGTCTCAATTTTATAAAATAAAACTTATATATATTATAAATTAGGACAAATTACATATACCCCTCTCGAGATTTAGCAAAATTACAGATACCCTTAAGGTTTGAGAAATTATAGATATGCGCTTGAAGGTACTATTTGCATAACAAATTAAGGGACAAATTGTTATGAAAATATAAATCTCAGGTGACAGTTTGTTATGAAAATATAAACCTCAAGGGGTATTTGTAATTTTCAAAACTTCAAGGAAATATTTGTAATTTAGATAAACCTCGAGGGAGGTATATGTAATTTGTCCTATAAATTATATATTAAAAATTATATGTGTGTCGGAGAGAGAGCGCGCGTGTGAGAATGAAGTCACTTTTAACCATCTTCCCAAAACAACTCTTTGTGTTGAAAACGTTGATTCAAAACACGTTTTTACATTTTAAGTAAAAGTGTGGTTTGGAATCACGTTTTTTGAAAAAAAAAAATTTATTTAAAAATATAATTTTTAATCACGTTTTTTTAATTAAAAGTGTAATTTGTAATTATATTTTTACTATTGCACTAATTTTTCGCAAAAAGACCCTAAAAACAGTAAAAACTTGATTTGTAATTATATTTTAATTTATTTTAAAAAATTTATCAAAACTAAGCCTAATTTAAAAAATAACTTGATATTTTGATTTATTTTGAAAACGCCCTAAATATGCTAACTATGGCTGTCTGTCGAGAAGTGGAATTACCATTCACCCTACCCATCGACACCATCAATCTCTCTCTTCTCTCCCTCATTCACGCACATCAAGAGCACTCTCACTGTCTCTCTCACTGGTGCTCTGTTTTGGAATTCTTCAACAACCTCCATTATCAGGCACCTCTCTCTCTCAGTCTCTCTCTCTGATTGAAGAGTTTCCATCAAAGAAAATTTCTTCAATCTCACTCTCTTTTCTTCCTGAATTCAAAATATATCCATAACATTGAAGTGTGGTGTCTCACTCCACAGTCAAAATATGATCCTCACAATTAACATTGCATTCCTTTCATCTTCCCTGTAGTTCTAGAGAGAGACAGAGAGTAAGGAGAGAGAAGGGGGAGCAGTGGAGCTCATATTATTAAAACCAAAATGCAAGCCATCATCATTTTCTTCTTCTTCCTCCTCCTCTTAAGCTCCCTACCACTTCCTTCATCCTCCATCAAAATTAACCACAACCGTCGGATCCTCCATCACCCCTTCTTCCCCATTGATTCCCTCCCTCCAACTTCCCAACCACCACTTGCATCTCCTCAACCCCAACCCCAACAACAACAACCCAAATACCCATTCTCTTCACTCTCACCTCCCAACAAACAAGACCCATTTTTCCCATTTTACGCTTCACCCCCACCTCCACCTTCTTCATCCACCTCTCTGAACACTTTTCCAGCCAACATCTCCTCTCTCACCCTCCCTCACACCTCCTCCTCCTCCAAACCCATTTCCAAGAAGCTGGTCGCCATCGCCGTCTCCCTCTCCCTTCTCTCCGCTGCCACCGCCGCCGCCGCCGCCTTCCTTCTCTACCACCGCCGTTTCACCGATGACAAGGCCTCAAGAACTGACAGCCTCCGGTTGTTCCCGCCCAACACCGCCACCTCCGACGGTGGTGGTGGCGGCGGCGGCAGTAGTTACAAGTCCAGCACCAGCTCAGAGTTTCTTTACCTTGGCACCCTTAGGAGGGGAATCGATGAGGACCACCATAAAAACAAAGCTTCCAATTCGAGTAACGCCGCTGCTTCATCGATGCCAGCCTACCAAAAACTGGGCTCGCCGGAGCTCCACCCGCTTCCGCCGCTGCCGAGACAGAATTTCCGGCGCCATTATTTGAATGATGAAGTTGGTGACGACGAAAACGACCAAGAAGAGGAGTTTTTCTCACCCAGAGGATCTTCGGAAGGTAAGGATAGTCCTACTGCCACTACTGGTTCTGCTTCGAGATCCCGGAGAGTGTTGTTTGTGGGTGTGGAATCTGAGCATTTCAGAAGCCGAAGCTCGAATTCGAGGACTGCTTCGTACCCATCTTCGAATTCTGCTTCCCCAGTGTCTACTAGTCCCTTAATGCCACTCAATTTAAGCCCCAGAAGCTTGAGATCGAGGTCTCCAGACTCGCTTGTCAATTTCCCAGCTCCGTCCCGACTATCTCCAATGATACCACAACAGACTATGGCCCAATCACCGCCCAAGAGTAACATTTTTTCTCCAGCAAGAGATTCCGGTGTTCCCGTGAAATTGCCGCCGCCAGCTCCTCCTCCACCTCCGCCGAGGTTTTGGGAAATTCCAGTTGTGTTGCAAAACCCAGAACCGGTTTCGCCACTTGAACAAGCACACAACATGGAAACGATGGAGAGATGTGAGGAAGCTCCAAAGCCGAAGCTAAAACCATTACATTGGGATAAAGTTAGAGCCAGCTCTGACCGTGCAATGGTGTGGGATCAGCTGAAATCTAGCTCATTCCAGTAAGATTTTTGAGTTAAAAGTTGTTGTCACTGTTTTACTCTTTTGAATGATGGGTAGTTTTGTGGTTTGTTATCGAGTTATATCGGTCTTGTAAGTTTTGTAGAATGTGGATATGGTTGCAGGTTAAACGAGGAGATGATCGAGACGTTGTTCGTGGTAAATGGTTCGAGTTTGGCTCCAAAAGATACCTCTCGGCGGCCAATTCTGCCTATGACAAATCAAGAGAATCAGGTTTTTGATCCAAAGAAGTCTCAGAACATTGCAATTTTGTTGAGAGCACTTAATGTCACTATAGATGAAGTTTGTGAAGCACTTTTGGAAGGTAGTTGCCTTTATGATGAGTTTGTTTAAAGCCCCCTTTTACTTTCTTGAAGCATTGGTCAAATTACCGAGTTTTTTAGTTGTAAAAGAAATTTCTTTTGGGTTAAACAAGCTTCTTGGATATTTCAGCTTGGCTTCTGATGCACTAGTCATTTTAATTCAGACTCAATTACTGTTCCTCATACTTTTATGTGTGTGATTACGTGTGTCCAACTCACATAATGATGTTAACAAGTAGCAACATAACTGTTTGTTGTGTTCAAATTGCACCATGAATTTCCTTTCATGGCGGTATAGTTGCATTGAAATCTTTGCTATGAAATTTTGGCGTGTTTTTTGTTTCTGCGAAATAGAATTGCTAAGAATTTCATGGTTCTTGATTCTGCAATTTAGAAATGTAGAATGGTATAATCTTTGGCTGTGTATAATTAGATTTTGCCAAATAATTGACATCATGTTTTTCAAGAAAATGTTGGCAATGTGTTTCACCTAGCTAAGTACTGCAGTTCTTTTTATTGTGAAACTGAAATGTTTTTGCTTATCTTTCTTTGAATGTGCTTGCGACAGGTAGTGCCGATACTCTTGGGACAGAGCTTCTTGAAAGTTTATTGAAGATGGCTCCAACCAAAGAGGAAGAATGTAAACTGAAAGAGTTCAAAGATGAATCACCATTTAAGCTGGGCCCTGCTGAGAAATTTCTCAAAGCGGTGATTGATATACCCTTTGCATTTAAGAGGGTGGATGCAATGCTTTACATAGGCAATTTTGATTCTGAGGTTGAGTATCTTAAGAGGTCTTTTGAAACACTGGAGGTAAATATTTATTTCCCCATCATTTAATTTGGATGTGTTCTCTATGCTTTGTCATCATTATCATTGTCAATTAGTATTATTTATTATTCAACAGTTATTCAATCCTTAATATGTCATTTATTTGATGTCTTTCTACACCATGAGTGGTAAATCATAAATGTTACATTTGTGTTCTTGACAATAATCGAAAGTTGATTGATGTGTAGTGTTTGGTTCATTGGAATGGAATGGTCATTCCTTATCTTCCTTATGAGATCATGATTCCTTGCAATCGTGAATGATAATTCCACTTGCAAGGCATTTTTTGTAATTTTTTTCTAAACCAAATATGAGAATGGACATTCTGATGGAATGATCATTCCATTCCAACTCATTCCAATGAGGCAAACATAGCATAAAGTTAACACGAATGCTATAGGTGTCCTCTTTTTAATTCCTCTCTCTTTGTTTTATACTTTCCTGTCTTTGCCCAATTCATATTTTATTATTAGAAACCTTAGTGTGCTTGTGTTCACTGTATGGATACTATCCTTTCATATACTATTCTCTTTCTCTATTGGATGCTACACAAATTTTAGTCCAATTTTTATCTCTGATTATTGGCACATCATACCTAGGTTGTACACCAAATGTGACTTGGCTACATTGTTATTGATTCACTTGGATAATTTGTATATATGAGCTAAGAAGCATGGACACTTCTAAGAAGTTAACGTGTCTGTTTCGACACTAACACTCTTCGGACATGTGTCCGATACTCTTTTTTGCGTGTCCTTAATTAAATTAAAAAATAAATAAATAAAATTTGGATACGTGTCCGACATTCATTTTGCAACATGTTCTTGGCCATGTCTATGTCACTAAAAAGTAAACATGAGACCAACACTTCTTGAACATTTGCTGACATATGATTTTCAAAATTTAAAGAATTTGGCATAAATATGTTATATCCTTAAAAGATGTATAATTATTAAGAATAATTTTATAGAAGTTATACATAAAATTAAATTAAAAATGAAAAAGATATGTAAATGTATTATTTGTGTAGATTATATAATGTTTAAGATATAATTTTTTGTGGCTTGTCCGAACTGTGTCCGTGCCCTACTTTTTTGGAATTTGTTGTGTTATTTGTGGCTTGTCCGAACTGTGTCCGTGTCCTACTTTTTTGGAAGTTGTTGTGTTGACGTGTCTGTGTCGTGTTGTGTCTGTGTCTATGCTTATGCTTCATAGAACATAAGAAACACCTATATTAATAATAGGAGAAGAATACAATTAGCCTGTAACTATTGGGATTGAGCTAAATCAAATATTCGAGTCAAGCCACAAATCATGTAAATTGATTCACCCATTAATTATAGGATCTTATCTTTGATTTCAAGATATTATCTTCAACACAACTTGGTTATAATGGCAAGGCCGCAAAGGATATGAGATTTGTGATGTCTATAAGAGCATCTAGTTTGGTGTGCCATTCAGTCCAAGGGGCTTTATTGGAGCATCCAGTTTGGTGCAGTATTCAATCTAATGTGCCTATGGATTAACCAATAACCTTAGTTTAAACCCAAATTAAGCATGTCAAGTAATGTCTAGTAGACTAGATCCAACAAGTTAAGCATGTCTAGTAATGTCTAATAGGAGCCACCCTAGATGTGCACCCATGTCTCCAAATTAAGATGGGCTTGCACTTCCATAATATCAGTATGGTAAGGTGAGTTTTTGCCCGAAACAATTTTATCTTTATTTTTTGTTTTTCAAATGATTAGGATGGATGTGCAAGTAGAAGGGGGAGATGGGGCAATGAGTAGCTAATATGAATGCTGATAACGAGTGACATGGATCACATTGCATCATCTACACTCAAATGAAAGCATGTTTATCAACCATGGGTTTCTCTTGAAAAGTGTGCTTTGCATCTACATGTTCAAGAGTGTGGTTTCCAACGACACTTTCACTTGAAAGCATACTTGGCAAAGATGCTTTCAGTGATTTGTTTGCAATCTGGGTCATTCATTTCTAACCTTTATGAGCTGTCAACACCTCATGGCTTGAAATAGTGAACCTCCATTAACCATATGAAACGGAGAGGATCCTAATCCAGTTAGTCTGCATTGCCGGAGATCCTATACAAATTATGATGTTTTGTTGAGTGATGCTGTTAACCAAATAAATGGATAAGCCTGTCTTCCTACCTCCCCTTCAATGATACACAACCAAGAAAGCAGCTGATAAAACAGGCCACCAAGAAAGAGAATATAAGAAAATATCCCTTTAGTGGTATAGCACCAAGAAGAAGGATTATAGACAAGAAGAATATAGAGAAGGGAAGAAGATAGGTGGAGGAGCAAACAGGAACACAATTGCAAACCATTAACAACTCAACATTCTCTTCTGTTTTTTTCTTTTTTGGTCAACATTTTAGGTAGTTAGATTTGTTAGTTTGTTAGTAAAGTTAGTGTACCACTCAAAGGGGCCGCCGCTGGTCCATCAGCTTGAACCCTGACCTTTCCTCACTACACCCTAAGGTGAAGCTACATGGCAACTTGTCACAAGGGCCTTGGCACAACTCAACATTCAATCAATGCCAAAATAACGTAGTCTCCAAACCTATTACTTATAGGCCTATTTTTGTAGGCATCCTAAACGCTAATAAAAAGTTCAGTTGAAATAAAACATCACAATAATTAATCCTAATAAAACAATATGACCCAATTAATCCTTATGTTCAATTTAGTTTCTCTCAATGCCTTTTCGCTCCCCATCAATTCTCCCCTGCTGAAAGAAACTCTCCTTTGGGAGTTGTAATGGTAAAAGTATCCAAGAGATGTAGCTCATGTTGCCAAAATACTTAATCAACCACAATAGCATGCAAACTGAGAAGTACTTCCCCAGTCCAAATAAATGCAGAACAAGCTTACACTCTTTTCAGGAAGTGTTGATTAGCACCAAGAGGGGACTCTGTGTAACATAAACAATTTGATTTTCATGAGCTAGTAGAGATACAATAGCAACTCCTATAGAAGCACCGGTACAAAACAAAAGGCTCTGAAGCGCCTCGATCATTTGGTCTTCATTTTTATCTTTTCTTTCTCATGCAATGGACCAGATAGTTGAAAGCTTCAAAACTCATATAACAAGTAAAAAATTAAGAATTGGTTTTCAAATTGAACAGTGCCAAAACTCATATTTCACGACTTAATGATAGCAATGTCATTAGGTGTCATTGCCTAGTCATTTTCAGCCTCAAGAATCATATTTTTTCATCTTGCAGGCTGCGTGTGAAGAACTGAGGAACAGCAGAATGTTCCTAAAGCTTCTAGAAGCTGTACTAAAAACTGGGAACCGCATGAATGTCGGAACCAACCGTGGTGATGCGCATGCTTTCAAGCTCGACACGCTCCTTAAGCTTGTGGATGTGAAGGGCAGTGATGGGAAAACCACTGTCTTGCATTTTGTTGTACAGGAAATCAGCAGAGCCGAAGGTTCTCGCCTTGCTGGTGTCAATCAGAGTAATCCAGCAGCCGATAAAAACCAGCAATCTGCTTTTCAGGATGACATTGAATTCAGGAAGCTTGGACTTGAAGTTGTTTCCAGCTTGAGTGGGGAGCTCACTAATGTGAAGAAAGCTGCTGCTATGGATTCAGACATACTTAGCAGTGAAGTGACAAAACTAGGCGTGGGAATCGCAAAGATTGAGGTAGTGTTGAAATTAAATGAAGAAATTGCAGTGACGGAGAGTACTAGCCAGAGATTTTCCGAGTCCATGAATGAGTTCTTGAAGAAGACACAGGCAGAGATCACAAATGTAAAAACTCAGGAGAGTGTTGCACTCTCCATGGTGAAGGAAATAACAGAGTATTTCCATGGGAACTCAGCTAAGGAAGAAGCTCATCCGTTCCGGATTTTCATGGTGGTGAGGGACTTTCTTTCTATACTTGATCAGGTATGCAAGGAAGTTGGGAAGATAAATGAGCGAAGTACAGTATTCGGTTGTGGCCGACAGTTTCCAGTAACAGTAAATTCAAGCGTTGCACCAGTTTTTCCTGGATTCATTGGAAGGCGGCAGTATGGTTCCTCTGAAGATGAAAGTTTATCTTCACCTTAAACTGGAACACCTATCAGAACTGGTAATGTATGCGAAAGAGCTTAGGGGTACGTAATGGCTAGTGAAGCCAAGCTTAGTTTTTGAAAAATTTGTGTAGAAGTTTTGGAATAGTTTCGGCCTCTTATCTTGTGTAATTTACAGGGAATAGAATCACATCAGAAAATAATGGTAAGAGAATTATCTTGTAAATCTATGGAAAACTGGATTTAAGGATTGCTAATCAGGGTTAGAAACAATCTTCTTCATTCTTTTTGTTGGTTGATGTAGTAGTCTCTATAGAATGTCTCTAACGATAACCATAAGATATGCTTGAATTAAACCTGGATTTTGTAAGGCTCCCATTCTAAATCATTACCTAAATTTATGATCTAAACTTAATTTTAAGAAAATTTTAAAATCATTTTTATTATTTGTATAACAGTGTGTTATTATACCATAGCAACCACATCATACATGGCATAATAACACATTAGGATAAAAATTTAGGTAAATTACACTTTGTTTTCTTAAGTTTTAATGTTGCCGTATATTGAGCATTTAAATTTTTTTCTACTTGAACTCTTAATGTTTTTAATTTTTCTCAATTTATTCTAACTACTAATGTCCATCCAAAATTTGATGGAAAATGTCAGGCTAGCAACCATATGCCTACTCCCTTCCTGCCTCTGTTCCATCACTTCCTTTCCATTGCCTACTTTCATCAGACACAATGCCACTGCTAAAACTCTAAACCCCTTCTTACTGCTAATTTTTCATCACTAACAACTAAACAATATTATCATTCACCTCCCTACTCAATTTACCATAACAAAACCATCAATCAAGCATCCAGCAATATAGCCCTTTCAAATTGACATCATCAAAAAACATTTCTCGTAAATTTGGTTGCCATTTTAGTTGATCTAGGGAAGGAAGGAAACTGTGAAAACATAATTTTGAGTTGTCCACGTGGCTTAGGTGGGTTAGCTAAGGTGCCACGTGGATAGTTTTGGTTTGCTGATGTGTGAGTTGACCTCATCTGAAGTCAAGATAATCGGGTGAGGACTGAGAGTCTTGGATAATGATAGATTCTCTGTTTAGATAGGTAAGTACTCTTAAGAGAGTTAATCCTAATTTGAATTGGAGGGGTCCAAGATAAGTGATATCCTTGATAGGGATAAGAGTCCTATAAAGGAAGGCTTCTAGGAAAAAGTAGACACTAATCATTATATAAAGACGGTAGTATGCTTTTAATTGAGTTGTTTACTTGAGTCAATATCTTTGAGAAATAGTTGATTGATTTGATCGTTGGAGTGCTCTCGGGTGGATGAGCCACCAGTTTTGTTGTCTTTCAGTGTGTAAGTGTTGGATTTCTCTATTCTTGCACGTGCTTTATGGCTTAGTTCCCAGAATATTGGGGAAGAGATTTGATCTGATTATAAGGTCATATTTCAACATCCATAGAAACAATGGGGTGTTTGGTCTGAATTGGGGCAACATGGCTACAATTCGCCCAATTTTGGACAAATTGTGGTTGTTGGAAAAATTAAAAACCTTAGGGGCTAAAGCATAGTTGTCAATCTCGTACTGTATCGGCCGTTACGTAAAGAAATTTAGCCAAAACTCTTTCATTGGACCCTTGTTTGATGAAAAGAACAACCCAATTTATTTTACTACATAAACCTAGGAGGTGCATAATTGAGTAAGGACAAAGTCCAATGTATATATATTTTTTCTTGGATAATATTGCTAGAGTAACATATTACTGTCAAACAGAGTAATATATTATTGTCAAATAAAGTAATATGTTACTGTTTACATCAATTTCGACGGTAATATTGTTTTTATTTTTTATTTTTAAAGAATTTCATAGTCAACATAGATCTTATTTTATAGATCTTGATGCGAGGATTCTATAAATACTAATTTTATTAAAAACAGACATCTAGATAAAAAATTATATTATTTTAAAGTTTAATATTTTGGTAATAGTGGTATGTGTTGGATTTTTTAACAATTTTTTTTTTGTGCTTGTCCTTAATACATCAAAGTTTCATTATGAGAAGGTTTTGATCAAATCTCCCTATTTAAAGTGACTAAAAAGTACTTGATATTGAAAAAAAAAAAAAAAAAGCAAATCAAAGGTTTTTTAACATCCTATTCATAATCAATCTCAATATTTCCTTCTCACTCTCTCTCTTCTATTCTTACTCTTTACTTTGTATCTTCATATTCAAGCTTATTTTGCTTTCTATTTCATATTGAAATTAACAATGGACAAAGAAAACATTTCCAAACAGTTTTTTATTTTATTATTATTATTATTGAGAATGCAGGTTTTCTATTCATGTTCATAATTTTTAGATTGTTGGGTTTGAAGTTTGTTTGAAAATTTAGTACCGAACACATTATATTAATTTGGAAACTTGTTTCTAAACAAAATTCATATATTTGGTAGTGTGTATCCGGATGGAAAAACTGGAACTGCTTTTTTGTTGTTTGGAACTGAGTATCCGTACATATTTCACTTGTTTAACACTAAGTGTCCGAAGCAATTTAATATTTTTGAAATTTAATATCCAGATGTATTTAATTTGTTCGGTAATGAATATCTGGATAGAAAAGTTGGAACCAATTTTTTGTTGTTTGGAACTAACTATCCGGAGGTATTTAATTTGTTCAGTAATGAGTATCTGGATAGAAAATCTAGAACTAATTTCTTATTGTTCAGAATTAAGTATCCGAATATATTTCATTTATTCGGCATTGAGTATCCGAATGAAAAATCTGGAACTAAGTTTTGTTGTTCGCAACTAAGTATTTAGACATATTTCATTTATTCAACACTAAGTTTGTTCCTTTGTTGTGACGGGTGATGCTATGGTACATTTAGATGTATCATACATTTAGTTATGAACTTATATGATTTTATGTCATAACCAATATCATATTAGTCATAACCGCTATCATATTGACTCATAACTTAGTTATATTCAGTTATTTATTTATACCATATTGCCTTATAACCAAGTCATAACTAAATTACTTAAATAATTTAACTCTCAAATAGGCAACCGGTGTAGCCGGTTAGAAGGGGAAACAAAATTGAATCAGTCGTGTTTGGCTCTCTTGGCTCTTCTCCTCCCTCTTCTCTTCCGCCATAGCTGAAGCTTCCAAGGATCACCAGCCTCGTCGGCGATCCAGGTTTCAGCCATGTTGACATCTTCTTCGCAAGCTCTCACTCTCTGGACGTCTCCACCATGGGTTTGTGACCAAAGACCTAGTCATCGTCTTTTCCCTTCCCTTCCAGTCGAATCGAATTTTTCCGAGAACTCTTTTCCGTCGTTCAGGTTTGTTGCTAACTCTAAGCTTCATCTAAACGTGCCATTGGTGCTTTGATTTCAAAACCCTAACCATTGAATATCTGTTATTAATTTTTTTTATCAGTCAAAATTAATATCCATAGCCACCCAAGATAGTTGTGCCATTGGGGCTTTGATTTCAAAACCGTAACCGTAAAGAATGAATATCTGATATTTGTTCTCATTCAAAATTAACATCGGTTCTGTCATATCACATTCCTTTAATTGCTTTCACTTTGCTGTTTCTTTGTCTTCTATGAAGATGTCATTACTTGATTTCTATGATTCTATATTAGATTGAAAGAGGCTCTAGAGTATGCGAAGAGCGCTGAATTGGGTGAAGATGCGAAGGATGTTTGGGTATTTGATATCGATGAGACTCTGCTTTCGAATCTTCCTTACTATGCTGATCATGGTTTTGGGTAATGTTCTTCAGATTTTCTTAAATTTTCGATTTAATTGCATTAGCTATGCTTTTGGGTTGTGTTTCGATCCACTTTTTTCTGCACTTTTCTTTTCCCTCCATCCAAACACTGCTTAAATGTTGATAAAGAATGGACTAAATGCAATTTCTAATTTTCAAATTTAATTCTTGATTTGGCCGGTTGATTTTGCCTTTATCCCCTAAACTACAATATTTTTTTTTTAATCCCTCAATTATCACTTTTATTTATTTAGTACCTAAAATTTATTATTTCAGTTTATGTGATTTGATTGAAAACGATTGTACAACTCGGTAACCGTTGAAGCCTAATTTGATAGGCAAAAGGAGAATATTACTGTTAGACCTGTCCAATGTCTCTACAACCCAACCGAGCTTGGTTGATATACTTGAGAAGCCCTTGTCAATTGGTTTTGAGTCGGATGCTTTGACATTTACAATCCGGACAACATAAATCAATGTTCAATGGTATGATTTAATTTGTTCAAATTATGAAATGATTTTTTTACCCATCAAATTAGGTGTCAATTGCTACTGATTTTTCCAATCGTCTCATATGAACTGAAATTATAAACTTTAAAGACTAAATAGATAAATTAATAATTTAGGGATAAATTAGAAAGATTGGTGATAGTTTAAGGGATAAAACGTAAAATTAACCCTTTGGCCTTATTGGGTCTGAAGGAAATCCATTTGAGCATGGGAGATGGGTAGTTATGAGAAATTGATTGAATTCTGAGATGGGTTCTTGGTGGAATTTTGTAGGTTAGAGGTTTTTGATGGTGTGGAGTTTGATAAGTGGGTTGACAAGGCTATGGCACCTCCAATAGAGTCCAGTCTGAAGCTTTATGAAGAGAAACTGAAGTTGGGATTCAAGGTTTTCTTGCTTACCGGGCGCAGTGAACAGCAAAGAGGTGTTACTGTTGCAAATTTGATCAATTTGGGCTTTCAGGATTGGGACAAGCTCATATTGAGGTTAGTTTTCAAATTGTTCTTTGTCATAGATTGCTAATAGGGTTTGTTATGTTTATGATTTAATAGGATAAACTTGTTTGACGTAATGCCTTTTATTTTGCATGATAGATCATTATAATTTTCTTATTAGCTTTGCGCATCTTTCAACTATCAACTATTGCTAGTGGCTAACATTTTGGGTTCTCCAGAAAAAAAGAAAAAAAAAATGTATTTTTTGTTTTATTAAGAAAAACGTGTGCACTTGGTACAACCTTTTCTTGTTAAGCAACATATGTTTAATATCAGCATTACATTCATGAAATCTTAGTTTGAATGAACAAACTCACATATCATAGAAGTATTGTCTTGAATGACTTCTGTTTTATTGCAATTTTATTGATCTAGTCAATTCTATTTTACAGATATTAATATCTAAATTTTTTACTGCAAACTCTATTTTTATTGTTTAAGATGCTGTACATCTTCTTTGATTTTCAAAGTTGAATTTATCTTCTTGTAGAATTATTCAAATGAACAAACTTGTTATCAGTCTTTGTTGGCTAGGATTTTAGTATACATCAGGGGAATTACAAAAATGAAAAATTGTTACATAGCTCAGAAACTTAGAAAATTTGCAAAGCATCCCAAATTTCATGTCACATTTATAAGAATATATCACAGAGACGATGTTCCTATACTTTCTAGACCTAGATTGGAAATGTTCCAATTTTCAAATCTTAGATTCAAAATCAAAATTTCCAATTTTTCCTCATCACTACATTAGGGTATGAAGTTCTAGTTAACAATGCCTTTCTGATGTGGGTCTTTGAATCATATTGAAACGATTGTATACAAAACAATGATCTAGTAATTTCTTTTTCTATATGTCATTATTTTAGGTTAGAGCCCATATTTTATAGACTGCTTTTAATGAGATCATAATTGAATTTTAGAGCTGGCCTCTCATTTATTCAGGGCCTTATTGACACATGAGGAATGATGATGTTTGACTAGTCATAGGCTTTAGGGTTTTTTCTTTTTGATATGTGGTATTAATGTCTGCTACTAGAAATCAATAGTAAGTTTGGAACATAGAAGCTTGGGAAATAAACATGAAAATGGTTCCTTAGGTTTTATTAGAATTTTCTCATATATAGGGTTTACAGAATACAAAATTCCATCATAAGAAAAGGTTTCCAGTAAATATGGTTTGCTATATTCTTCTTCTTCTTCTTCTTCTTCTTCTTCTTTTTTTTTTTTATGATACATATTAGATATTCTGATAAATAACTAGAAATTGAGGAACATGGCAGTATTTCCTTCCAGTGGCATATGTGATGTAATATGTCCATTGACAAACGAATCAAATTGGATATTTTTTTAATTCAGTGAATAAAACCTCAATCTAGTTATGCATCTATCGCTGCTTGTGCATGCATGCACTGTACAAATGGGAAAATGCATACTTGATTTTTTTTTTTTACACACAAACATCCTTGTTTTCGTTCTTTGGTTCTTGTGACTTGATAATTCTGTCAAGTCCTGTTGAAAATATATTGCAAACCAAATCTAGACTCATGAATGTGGCAGCAATTGTTGAATTAACGGCCAAATTAATGATGTAAATTAAATTCCAATCTGATTTGTTTCTTCTTCAATTGAATTCGGCTCAACTAAAGCTAGCCCATAGCCAATTCCTTTACAGCCCTACCTTGTGTGATGTAACAGTAATAATTTTTTCCTAGAAGATTTGATATTAGGAGCTAGTTAATTGTCACTACTCATATTATGAAATTTGTACCTCAAATGTTACACTGATGTGATGGTCTATAATATGAGTAGTGACAATTAACTAGCTCCTAATATCAAATCTTCTAGGAAAAAATTATTACTGTTATATATTATGAAATTTGTACCTCAAATGTTACACTGATGTGATGGTCTATAGAATATATTCATCTGCTTTAATAGCATTAGTTTTATAAAGAAAGTTATTTCAATTTTACTCAATGCTAAAAGGCAACTTTTGCCAATTTTTTTAAAGAGTGACTAACTTGTCCCTTTCATAGGATGAATTCAATTTCCTTATGATCTTGCCTAACGTGTTTTTTGGGCCACACATTAATTTTCAATGATGGAAGGGTGAACATGATGAGCCTTTTGATTTATCAACAAAAAAAAATAAAATAAAATAAATAAAATTTTATGGGCCTTCTTTGATGGGGAATTAAACCACCAATTTAAATATGGTTTTTATTTTTAATATTAAATTAGAGATGGTCCCCTTTGTTGCATATTTTTACTAAATTTCAAGTGTCTTAAACCGTGCAGAGCAACTGAGGACCATGGGAAGCTAGGGACAATATACAAGTCGGAGAAGAGGAATGAGATGGTGGAAGAGGGATACCGGATTTTGGGCAACTCTGGAGACCAATGGAGTGATCTTTTGGGTTCATCAGTTTCCATCCACTCGTTCAAGCTCCCAAATCCCATGTATTATATTCCCTAATTGGATAGGCTCCTATTAAGCTTTTCTAATCCCTTCTAGTCAATCAAATATTTGTACATTCGATTCATTGACTGAAGTTTGCAATTAATATATAAATTGTGCATAACTATACTTGATTTAAGTTTTCAATTAATATATAAATTGTGCATAACCTCTCTCTCTCTCTCTCTGTCTCTCTCTGTCTCTCTCTGGCAGTGGCTCATGAGATTAACTGTAAATAACTGTATCATGTTCTGCAGAATTAGATTGCTGTCTTCAACTAGGTAGATGCATGTATTCAATTTATCAATTGCTAGAAACTGGTCACTAGTTTCTAAATCAACATTTTGGGATATTATCGACGAAGTACATCAGCTTGGTCCACGATTTGTCGCCCTATTAATTATGGAGGATTAGGCATTAAAACCTAACGATGCTTAATCAGCCCTACATGATGAAGTTGGGATGGCACTTATTGAGACATTCTGAATCTTTATGGGCTTTGATGTTTAAATCCAATTATTTCCCTAATGGCACTATCATTTCGGCTAAATCTAAACCTTACCAATCATGCTTCACTTAAACTTTTCTTACTCTTGGCAAATGTGGACAATTAGGAATAAAATGCTTCTTGAAAATCAATCTTTACACCTTCACAAGATATCATGTGCTGCTAAGTTTGCACTCTCTATTCTGATGAACACTTTTAAAGTACACACTCTCGGTTAACAAACTCAACACAGATGGTGCTTGTCAAGGTAACCCTGGTCGAACAAGCATTGGTGGCATCTTCAGAGATAATACTGGTCACTGCATTTAAGCTTTCGAATATCCCATTGGTACAAGTAACAATACAGCCGAAATTTGGACTGTTCAAGCTAACACCCAATGGTTAATTATTGAATCTAATTCATGGAAAATACTACACATCTTTGCAAGCGGAAAGCCAATAACTAAACAAACCAAATTTTGTTTGAACAAGTGCCTATAACTAATAGTAATTTCTGGGGCATATTTGCCCGTAGAGAAGCTAATTTTATTGTTAAGTTTGTATCTTCTTTTATTATCTGAGAGATTAGGTTCCCTTCTTAGTAAAATAGTTCCTTGTATGAACCTTTTTTTTTTTTTTCACTTCAATGTAATTTCCTTTCTAATTCAACAAAAAAAGGGAAAAAAAGAGAAAAGAATAGAAGCAACTATCATCATGATGATCATCCACCAACCCATGTATTGACAACAGGCATCATGTAAGCACCAAGTATTCTCATTCAAGCACCTTATAGCTATCACTCTCTCTACTTGCAACACACGGAACATTCTTATTGTTCATCAGCAACCTGTACATATTGTTCTATCACAATCCTATCATTTCAAATTATTATATACATATTTCTAATAATTTAAAACCTTCATATTTGGAACAAAATCCAACTAAATAAAAGGAATAATTCTTCTAAGAAATTCTACCCCCACCCCACCCAAAAAAAAAAAAGTTACAAACAAAACGATGTCATTGTTTTCCAGATTTCCACTCACTAATAGCAGAAAGAAGTGTATAATTTGGAATTAGATTCCTAGTTGGCAATGGCAAATTTGTCATTGGGGATTTATCATTCTCCTCAAGCCATGTCTGTATAGCTTTACGATCGTAAGTGTACCCATCAGTAGCAACACAAGGCTCTTCCATGATATCCTGGAAATGAAACAGATCAATTGTCATAATCAAAAGAAAAAGAAAAAAAAATTTTCTTTTGTTTATTTAGAACAAAAACATTACTAATCAAAAACATTTAAAAAAAAAAAGATTTCCACTCACTAATAGCAGAAAGAAGTGTATAATTTGGAATTAGATTCCTAGTTGGCAATGGCAAATTTGTCATTGGGGATTTATCATTCTCCTCAAGCCATGTCTGTATAGCTTTGCGATCGTAAGTGTACCCATCAACAGCAACACAAGGCTCTTCCATGATATCCTGGAAATGAAACAGATCAATTGTCATAATCAAAAGAAAAAGAAAATTTTTTTTTTTTGTTTATTTAGAACAAAAACATTACTAATCAAAAACATTTAAAAAAAAAACCCCCTAAACAATTACGATAAATATGACACTGTTTATCTATTGCGACCATTCAATTACCTTGAAGTCTTGAGTAATTTCATGAACAAGCCTCTTGAATGGAAGCTTCAAGATCAGGAGCTCAATACTCTTTTGGTACCTACAAATTTCGCTACACATCAATTAATTAAGATAACAAAGAATCTAAAAAACACAAGAATTTTTATAACTATAATAACCATAATTCAAGCTTTAATTCACTAAGTAGAGAAGAATTTACTTGCCTAAAGAGGTGCCTTCCTAGCTGTAAGAAGGCCTACCAAAAGAATTTGTTTATTTAGAGCAGCAAAAACCAGTGAACTCAACACTATCATGAAGAGCCAAAGACAAAGGCATTAAATCTGCTTCAAAAACTATGAAATATAGTGGCTAAGGATTTGCAAACCATCATTTAAAAACCAATGCTGTGAAGCAACAATCTAACAAAAGCAAAGTTACTACTGAAGCAACACAATATATAACATTTTTTTTTATTTGATATTTTGAGAGAAAAATCTAAAAAAAATAGCAAAGTAACTACTAAAGCAACATTCCTAAACTTTAGTACATTTATATTTTTTTCACAAATGCTCATCAAATATAACCAAACACCCTACATTCATATTTTAAGCTAAATCAATACTTTTTTCTTCCTTTTTTTTTTTCTTCTTCTTTTTTTTTTTTGTGTATTTCATATTTTTTACAAATATATATATATAGATATATATTTTAATCTTTCAACCAAACACCCTACATTAAAATTTTAACCAAAAAGCTTACAAATATTTTAAGTTAAATCAGTACATTTATATTTGTTTCACAAATGCTCATCAAATATAAGAAATTTTCAACCTCTCACAATTTTACAATAATCGAATCAAGTCAGTAAAAAAAAAAAAACTTACCAGAAACAGGATGAGATAGAGAGCCCAAACCAAAGGGAGAGAGCCAACAACAAAGATAGCATAGCAAAAAGCATAGAGAGAGAGAGAGAGAGAGAGAGAGAAAACAAAGAGAAAGAAAAAGAAACTTACCAAATTGCCGAGCGGTGAGGCGATCTAAGAGGAGGGTAGGGCTAGCGGTGGTGGTGGCGGTGGCGGTGATGATCGGTAGCACTAGCGGCGATGGCGGCGATTGGCAACTCTAACAGCGATAGAGGTGGAGGTGATCAGCAAGGTGAGGAGCAGCGAGTGGGAGACAGAGAGTTGAATGCGATGTTTTGGGGGTGTGAATAGTTGGGGATGTTTCGGCAATTGGTTAAAACACCATTGTCCCATATTTAAACAAAATAAAAAGACCAAAACAAATTCACAACTCCATAGACCAAACTTTTTTGTTGTTCTATCCCTCAAATACAATTCTTGTAAAAAAAAAAAAAAAGCAATTCAAAATTGTGAGTGTACAAAAACGATCCCAAATGAGGATTTTGGTTGTTGCTACTCAACATTGTGAGTGTACAAGAACGTTGACAAATAAATGAGGAATTCATAATTGCATAGCGCAACTAGAACTGCCCTCTAAAAACTAGAATCGTAAACTACTTTGTCAATATAGTTTATCCAAAACCATAAGGGCATATGGTAAGTTGTCAATTTTGGGAAATCAAAAATAAAATTAAAGGAAAGATTTCAGCATTTCAGTTTCCTTCTTCCTTATTTTCACTGAACTTATTTTCTCAGCAACCAAGCATAGTACGTGCTTATAGATCTACTAATTACACGAAATAAGCAACAATTAGCAGTTATTTATCTTCTTCAAGCACAAATACATCACACACACACACACACACACACACACACACACACACACACACAAAAAAAAACCCAAATAGACTTGCAGTCTCCTTTTCTTTCCCTCATTGCATATTTTCTCAGCAACACAATGTCCCAAACACAACATAACATACTTATATGACTAACCTACAAAAACAGTGCTTCTATATCTTCCAATTAAGCTTATGATCAAGAAACATAAATACTGCTTATAAATCTACTAATTAAAGCTAAGAATTAACTACAAAATAGAACTAGAGAAAGAAGACAGCAACATAGTCAACAGCAAATGAATCCAACAGAATGTTCTGTATTATGTTGCTACTACAAAAAACACTTACGGTCATGGAGACTTGCCCAAAATCACATTTGGCAACATAAAGAACTAACAGATTCATCATATGCTAGGGGGTTACAAGCCCCACTCCAAAAATCAAGCTTGTTCTTTTAAATCACTCAAAAATTTAGTCTAGTGCCTTTTCCTTCCGGACAAATTTTTTAAAAAATAAAAATAAAAAAGCTTACATAATATTTCCTTCTGGACAAAATATCACAATGATAACAAAATATACCTCGGGTATGCAGGCCACATCGTCAATTCTTGTGATCAACTAAGCAAAGATCCCCAGAACCTTCAAGAAAATCAGTGGCCCATACTGACATTCCAGAAATGCAAACTACAAGTAAACATTATGAATGTCTTCCATACTAGTTTTGGAAAACACTAAAGCACAAGATGTTAGAAAAGCAGACTAATTAAGTGCATAAAATTTCTCTGCAATTTCAAATATTGAGGATAAAACATAGAAAATAAAAACAAAAAGAGTAAAATGTATATAACTTAATTGCCCATGTTTGTTTGCAGGAGGTGGCTTATGCAAGAGAAAACTGACACTTCATAACCAAAGTAAAGAAACAGTTATTAATGGTTTGTTAAAAAGTAAACAAACAGTTATTAATACCAAAAATGAGCTAAAATAAGAAGTAAGAAAAAAATTCCCCCTTTATGAAGACTTGCTCAAAATCACAATCAGCAGCATGTATCACAATCAACAGGAGCCTATCAATTAGCGTAAATCTAGCCCATGCTGCCATGCCTATAAAACTCAACTAATAAATAAATTGAAATTCATTTGACAGGTGTAAATTGAAGTTTTATTTATTTATTTATTGCTAGGCCAAAAAGGATGAAAAATAGGACTAAAAGTATGTACACATAGTGAAAATTTTAAAAACTATCCCATAACAACTTAAAATTTAAAATTAACTAACTAAGAACAAAATAGGACTAATAATGCTAAACTACCAAATATATAAAGCCAAATAATAACATAACATATCTATTATATAGTTATTAATATTTAATTAATTTAATTTTTTACTTAAATAATTTATTTATCATGTTATAAAAAATAAACACCAAGAGACGCAAGAAGCAACCCCAAACTCATACAAAGGTTGTGGAAATTAAAGGAGAGAGGGAGAGCGAGAGAGAAACCTGGACAAAGACAGTTTTCAAAACTCTGCCAGAGAAACAAGTGATGTTGGCAGCAATAATTTTGAGCTTCAAAGTTTCAAACACTTCACAAAGCTTTACCATTGTTTCTGTCCTTTTGGAGCATGTCAAGCTCACTACCACTGTCTTCTCCCCAATGTATGACACACTCAACTGCATATTCACACATACATACACATTCATTCATATACACAAAACTAAAGTCACCAAAATTTAAGCCTATAATTTCTTGGATGGTGGGTCACATCTACATCCAAATAAATCTCATTCACACAAACTTCTGTGATTCTAAGCCTTAACTTTTTGTGATTGGTTTGTCTCCTGTTGTCCAAGCTAATTGGACCGTCTAGTCTGGCATAATATGGACCCATTTAAGGTTTATTTTAATAATTCAAATTATTTATTTTATAAAACTTTTCAAATATATCATTTATATTAAAAATTAATTTGATTAGATATCGGATTGTCAAATTGTATCTAAAATGGGATGACAGTAGGCCAGACTAGATGCTCTAATTGGTTGGAGACAATCCCATTTCTAAATTTTTTGGATAAGTTCTGATATAAAATTTTAGTATGGATCCTTTAGAGTGATTTTTTTTATTAAAGTAATTTTAGAATAAGTGAAGTGTTGTGTAACTAAGATTTAATGGCCAGGTACAAAAAATCACTTTTAAGATTTTTAATATTGAATTTCAACTACACATCACATCACTAATACATATGTACATGTCCAATTTATCCCTTTATTCATTTTTTTAAAATAGTATAAATTATGAACAAATTAACTAACTAAAACAAAATTATCCAGAAACTAAACGATTATTAATCAAATCTTAATCAAAGACTTACTTCAAGATCTTCCATGGAAGAAGTGGTTGATCTCCTTGAATCATAACTATGATCAATTCTCTTTTTCTTGAGTCTTGACAAGGTTGGAATCTCTTGATCCAAGTCAAAAACTGCATTTTTCTTCAATTTTCCAGATTCAACCTGTATTAAATCAGCTTGGATCCTCCTCTCCTTGCTCATGCAATTCTTGGATGTAGTCAATTGCATCTTTGATTATGGATGCCTTGTCCATCTCATTCAACATCACCACAACACTTCATCAAAATTAAATTGACTAACATCAATTTTTCTAATTTGATTTACATTTTAATAGATTCTGTGATTTTCATAACATCTCTTGTTTTAGTTTTCAAATTTTCACAACACTTGATCAAATTATCCATAGCCTCCTGCAGACCACTGTCAAGCCATCTCACATCTTCTTCACCTTCACTTCCCAATGTCATAGAGCAGTGAAAAGAAGAGAAGAGAAGAGAACAGTGGTCCAAATCAAAAACAGAGAGAGAGAAGTCCAAATCTCATAGAGCAATGAAGAGAAGAGAAGAGAAGAGCAGAGAAGAAGAGAAGAGCAGAGAAGAAGAGAATAGAAGAGAAGAGAAGAATACCTTCGAATCAATGATTCGATCGCTGCTCGCCGCCATTGTCGCCGATCGCCGATCGTCGCTAGCCACCACTATCGCCGCTCGTCGTCGCCTCCGTGAGAGAGAGAGAGAGAGAGAGAGAGAGGGAGACAGTGTTGTTTCGAAAGTTAGGGCTCCGAAAATTGGGCTCTACAAACCTGAAAGGAAATGAAAAAAAACGGGGGAAAGACAGGGAAAAAACAGGGGGGAAATTGAGGTTTTGTTAGGTTTAGATTTTCGGAATATTTTTAATATTCTTAATATTTAATTTTTTAAATATTTTTAATATTTTAATTTTCTAAATATTTTTAATATTTTTAATGTTTATACAGGCCTAAAAAAATAATTGACAAAAAATAATTGACATAGAAGTTGTTTGAAAAAAAAAATGATTTGAAAAAAAAATATTCAAAAAAATTACTTAAAAACAATTAATTCAAAAAAAAACTTTTTTTTATTTGAGTATTTTAAAAATAGTTTGGTTATGACTGTTGATCAAAAATACGGATATCGAGTTATGAGTTGTGTGTTTGATTATCAATTACATGTTGAATTAAGTTTTGAAAACTATTTTGAAAACTCATCACCAAATAAATTTTTTTATTTCACATGTCACATCAAACTTTCAAAACTCAATTCCACATACAATTCAAAACTCAATTCAACACTCTATTAAAAAACCATAACCAAACAATTTTTTTGTAGTAGAGGAAAGGGAGCGATAGTAGTGGTGAAAGTGATGGATAAGAGGTGGTGGTGGTGGTGGTGATGGCGAAGGAGATTGGTGATGAAGTTGTGGTAGTGGTATGGGAGATGGATTGGTGGCAGTGGATGAGAGGTAATAGTAGTAGTAGTAGTGGTGGTAGTGGAGTGGTGGCAATGGTAGTAGTCATGGTAGTCGTAGAGGTGAAGTGGCGACAGTGGAAGTAGTGGTGGTGGTGGAATGGCGTTTGCAGTAGTAGTGAAGGTGGTAGAGGAGATGGGTTGTGAGAGAGAGATGAATGAGAGACAGATAAAGGAGAGAGAGAGAGAGAGAGAGAGAGAGAGAAAGAGAGACAGAGTGATGAGTGAGAGAGAGATAAAGTGGTCGCTAAAAGTGCATTTTCTTGTAGTGGATCGATAAATCGAGAGGGAGCTCAGTAAATAGAGAAGACGGGAGGGAGAGAGTGAGCAACGCAAACATAGTGGGAGAAGAGAGATGGAGAAAAAGAGAAAGAGAAAGAGATAGAGATAGAGATAGAGAGTAAGTGATAGAAAAGAGACAGAGAGAGAAGAGAGATAGAAGAGAGAGATAGAGAGAAGAGAGATGAACGAGAGAGACAATGAGAAAGATAGAGAGACAGAGAGAAAGATAGAGAGATGAGCAAGAGAGACAGAGAAAGATGAGAGATGAGAGAGATTGAGAGAAGAGAGATGGGCGAGAGAGATAGAGAGAGATAAAGAGAAGAGAGATGAACGAAAGAGACAGAGAGAGAAAAGAGATGAGAGAAGAGATAGATGAGTGAGAGACACAGAGAGAGAGAGACGAATAGACACACAAATAGAGAGAGAAGAGTGATGAGTAAGAGAGAGAGAAAGAGAAGAGAGAGATGGAGGTAAAAAAATGGATGAAAAGATATAGACAGAAAGAGAGAGAGAGAGAAAAAAGAGCGAAAAGAGATAAACGAGAGAGAGACAGAGAGAGATGATCGAGAGAGATAAAGAGAAGAGAGATGAGAGAGATAAAGAGAAGAAAGATGGACGAGAGACAGAGAGAAAGAGAGACAGACAGACAGACAGAGAAGAGTGATGAGTGAGAGAGAGAAAGAGAAGAGAGACAGAGACATAGAGAGACAAAGAAGAGTGATGAGTGCGAGAGAGAGAGAGAAGAGAGATAGAAAGATGAAAAAATGGGTGAAAAGAGAAATGTTCAAAAGAGTAAGACGACGTCGTTTTATTTTTTTTTGTAACAGGAAAATACCATTGCATTTATTTAAACCATTTTATGACTATATATATATATAAAGCCATCTCAAAGCCACAATATATATATATATATTTTTTAATTTAAATTTTTTTTTGCAACGGTACGTATTACAATCGCAAAAAACTCTTTTTTTTTGCCACTGCAGCTGGTACCGTCGCAAAAACTCTATTTTTTTTTTTTTGCGACAACAATCTCTGCCATTGCAAATACTCAATTTTTTTTTATGACAGCAATTTCTGCCATCACAAATACTCTATTTTTTGCGACGACAAGTTGTGCCGTCTCAAAAAGTCACATTTTTTGGCGACAACAAGTTATGCTGTCTCAAAAAGTCACATTTTTTGCTTGAGACGACAAGTTGTGCCGTCACAAAAAGTCACATTTTTTGCTTGAGACGGCAAGTTGTGCCGTCGCAAAAAGTTCCGTGTCATAAGCCCACTTTTCTTGTAGTGAATCGTAGATAAAATTTTTCAACACACTTTTTATTAAAATTTAGTCAAATTATTTATATGTATGTCTATGTGTATAAAAATATTTTAAAATGTATATTATTTGTATGTTACCCTTTTTATTGTATTTAGTAAATAAATCTAAAATAGAGATATGTTGTTAGTGGTTTTGAGTTGGTTATGATCATAGTTAGGGGTTATGGGTGAAAATGATGTTAGTTATAAGATGTGGTTATGAGATATGTGATGGTGGTTATGATCAAAATGGTGTGTTTACGAGCCAAAAGGTATTGGTTATGAGATGTGGTTATAAGATATGTGATTAGTGGTTATGAGTAAAGTGGTGTGCTTATGAGCCAAAGAATGTTGGTTATGAGATATGTGATTAGTGGTTATGAGTAAAGTGGTGTGGTTATGAGCCAAAGAATGTTGGTTATGAGATATGTGATTAGTGGTTATAAGTAAAGTGGTATGGTTATGAGCCAAAGAGTATTGATTATGAGATATATGACTAATGGTTATGAGATATGTGATGTTAATTATGATCAAAGTGGTGTGACTATGAGCCAAAGGGTGTTATGAGATATGTGATTAGTAGTTATGATATATGTGATGTTAGTTATGAGCCAAAGAGTGTTGGTTATGAGATACGTGGGTAATGGTTATGAGATATATGATTGTTGATTATGAGATATGTGATTTTGGTTATGAGCAAAGTGATGTAGTTATGAGTCAAAAGGGTGTTTGGTTATGAGATATGTGGTTATTGGTTATGAGATATGTGGTTATTAGTTATAAGATATGTGATATTGGTTATGATCAAAGTGATGTGGTTATGAGCAAAAGGGTGTTGATTATGAGATATGTAATGGTGGTTATGAGTCAAAGGGGAATTGGTTATAAGATGTGGTTATGAGCTATGGGGATTGGTTATAAGATGTGGTTATGAGCTATATGAGTAGTAGTTATGTGATATATGATTAATAGTTATGAGATATGTGATAGTGGTTATGATCAAAGTGATGTGATTATGAGCTAAAGGGTATTGGTTATGAGATGTAGTTATGAGATATGTGATTGTAGTTATGAAATATGTGATATTGGTTATCAACAAAATGGTGCTGGTTATGAGATATGGTTACGAGATAAGTGATGAGAGCTCATAACTAAGTTATGATTAATTTGATTCTAGTCATGAACAAATATGATTTTGGCTCATAACTATAAAAAGTGACCTGCTTACCAGGTCACTTTTAATGATGTGGCTCAATCTGAGCCATTGATTTTCGATGTACCATACATTTTTTAAACAAAATGTACTATAGACTTTCCCTTGTTGGGACTATTAGACTAATGGGGTGCAAAAACTATGTTTCTAGTATATTTCTACAGTTTTTATAGATAAAATAAGTATTATTTAGGCGGTAAAAAAAATAAATAAACCCAACATAATTTTTAGGGTGCAAATAGGGCTACCCATGAGAAGATATTGAAACTTTAAGGAAGGCAAAGGGTAATGTCCCCAAATTTATATCATAATGTGTTGTTATGCCACGTGCCTGCTCACATGGCGTTTTCCATACAAAATTGAATAAAAGTTAGTTGTTGGAGTAAATTGAAAACAATTAGAAATGTTAGAGACTAGCATTTTTCATACAAAATTGAAAAAAAGTTAATTGTTGAAGTAAATTGAAAACAATTAGAAATGTTAGGGACTAAAGCGTGAAAAAGTAATTTTAAGAATGAGAGAGAAGACGATCAAAGTTAAGTACTAAAAGGTGCAATTTATATCTTCTTCTTTCTATTTTATTTTTTATAACATACTTAACAAGTAATGAAAAGATAATGAATAATTTACATTAACCTTTTCAAAGTTTAGAGAAAATATAGAGGAAATATCATTTTGCCTCACAAATTTTCATGCATTTTTCAATTGGACCCCCAAACTTTAATTAATATTAATTTTATACCTAAACTTTCAAAATTTTGATCAATTTGGCCCCTGCTGTCACATTCCGTCTTAATTGGACGGAATGTGTTGATGTGGCATCAAAATTCATTTGGAATTTCATTTTACCCTCCAAACTATACCTTAAAAATCAATTTGCCCCCCAAATATAAAAACATCAAGTTTAAAAATTTAATAAATAATTTTTTTATCTCAATAATGAAAAAATTAAATTTTAAATAATATATACTTTGCAAAAAAAATAAAAATAAAAATAAAAATAACAACCCTCATTTAGAATTATCTTGAGACTATGAAGTATGGGTATTTCAACAAACATGTCGTATAACGGTTCTAGTTTAGACCTCATCCATTTATTGCTCTTGGATTCAGGATTCCGTGTCTTTAATTTTTGTTCATGCCATTTTCATCTTGTTGGTAGTTGAGTTGAGTGTTGGTTGTGTTTGAAACAGTTTGGAAGTTAGTTTTTCAAAAGTGTTAATGTCCAATTTTCTTCTTGTTCACTCAAGCGGTGGTTTGGTTGCTCGAGTGGTCTGTGTGTATTTTAGATTGGAAAAAAGGAAATTTTAATGACTTTTTTATTCCTTTCTCTCTAAAACACTTCTAACCCTAATTTATTCACTCGCTCTCTCTAGTTCTTACCTTAAAACTCCAAATACATTCTCACCCATTGATTTCTCCACCATAGCTCCTTGGAGAAAAAGGTAGAGCTCATCAAAACATTCAT